TTAAAAATTAAACTAGATATATTTTTTTTAATTAAAGAAACATTTAATTTTTAAAAAAAAACTTATAATCACATGAAAATTACATTAAATAAATATTTAATTAAAAAATGACCAAAATACCTTTACATTTAACACCATTAACTCCAAAATTGTATGTTATGACCAAAAATATTCCATTTTAAAGAATTGAGGGATCACATTGGTCCCTAAGAGGGACCACATTGGTCCCTTAAAAGAGTTAGGGACCATTTTGGTCCCTCACAAAGAGTTGAGGGACCATTTTGATATTTTTCCCTATTTCTTTTATTACTAAGATACACATCCATAATTATTGCATGTTGTGTGGTCAAACATACCCTTAGAATTGCTTTAAAATATCTGTAAAATGCATTTTTTCTTTTAAATAAATAAAGAATTACATGTGATTTGGCAATTCCATTTCAAAATTAATAAAGTAATATTTTCATTTCTTAAAGTATGTTATTGCAAGATCACAAGCTATTGTGAAATCAAGTAAGCTTCTCCCATTGCATTTCTATTCTTGTTTCATAAACACCATGAGGTCAATCATAGCTTAGCCTACTAAAACACATCTATCCATTTAAATCATCACTAACAAAATATTATTTTATCCTCAAGCATGCGTAGTAATAATTCATTCATCCCTTCTCAAAATTGATTTTTTAAAGTATCTTCAAATTCATCATGGAGAGGGCAAACATTAACTACAATTATAATGTCCAAATCAATAATAAACTTAATAGCATTCAATATATCACAATTTATTCATCTCAGTAGTTATATCCTTCAACTCCTTATTCCCTAGCATCCCAACCCCAATGCTATCATTCACATTTCTAACAAATAGTAACATAAAAACTTCCCTAATGTTCTTACATTTATCTACATTCTATTTAGTTTTTAAAAACAAGAAATCTATACTTCTAATTATTATGTCAACTAATTCGTCTTCCCATTCCAAGTTGCAAAATTCCATCCAGTTTTGATTACAATTGAAAAAGAAAAAAAATCTTGCTATCACGAGAATGAGTTCTGTGCCAAGTTTGTATGGTCATGATTGCTGCTCATTACACTGTGAGCCATCCCATAGGCAGTTAACCTACTTTTGCTTTGCCTTCTATACATTCATACTACTTAAATATAGTTATTATATAAATAATTAAAATTATAATACCAGCTTTTTATTATTTTAATTTAATGCATTTACATATTGTTTGATATATTTTGATATATAATTCATAGTAATCATGTTCAATCACTGAAATCAAAAAAGAACAAGAAAAGGAGACTAAACTTTTCAAGTGCAATAAGATATAGTCCACGCCAAAATCATTAAAGTAAATGTAATGCCTTCGAAAAGTTGGACTCACAATATAATAAGTCAACTCCTGTTTTTTTTTTCATCCCTCGCCCCCAGACTTTGGAAATATCCAAATGCATGTCAAAACAGGATATTGAGATAACATCTTCCATGCCAACTTCCTATGGGCATGCTTGTTGCTCTGAACATTCTTTAAACATTCCATTCATATTTATGGACCCTCCTCTTCGTCTTGCATTTTTGTTTATGTAAATATCTAAACAAATACAATACAATGTCTTAAAAATTATAAACAACTTTTCAAAAATTAATTGTAATGTAATATATTTATGCATTATAATAATTACAAACAAAAAATTGGTAAATATATATATTTGTTATTTTAATAGTTTGTAACAAAATCTATAGATACGAAATTAATAATAGATTATCATTAAGTATATTTTATCATCTATAATCTAAACTATTATTAATAGAATAATTCTATATATAACTAATTCTTAGTATTATGTGTATAATATTCATGTACGTCAAATATATTTTATTAAAAAATATTATTTGTGTGCATGTATGAAGATAAATATTTTGTGCATCTGTGAATGGAATTGTTGTTTTAGGGAGAGGTAAAAGTTATCACACTTAATTACTTCTAAAAATGACCTCAGAGTATATGAGCGATAAGTTAATGATAAAGAATCATCTAAATTACTTTTTGCTTAAGAAGTAATCTCTCTTTTTCCCTTATCAACCTAATAGCCGAAGAGGTATAACCTCCCACTTCTTCCGTGCAACCAAACAAGCTTTTGGACACCTCATTCAGAATCTGAAAGTTTCCCGCACCTTTTTCATCATAAAAATATGAACTCTTTATTTTTAAAAGTCAAGTTTAATTGATGATTCAGTAAGGCCATCTATATATTTTGCAATGACTCAAAACCATGGACTCGAAAACACAATTTTGCAGTCTCATGTGTTGCTGATATAATTTCAGCTATAGCTTATGCTTCCATAATTTACAGGGCTAGGATAGGTTAACAGCTATGGCAACTGATATGTATCAAAAAAGGTTGAAAATTGAGCTTCATAGGTTAATTGGAAATCAAGAAAAAAAAAACTATCGAAAACATGAACAACATTTAAAACACTCAAATAATAAAATAAACTTGCTCTTTCTAAGGCAGGGAGTTTAATCAAGAAGGCTAAATAATTAGTTGATGCAATGTTAACAAGAAAAAACCTTGAAATGCACTATTTCTTGAGCAATTATTCAAAGCTCCTCCAAATTTTGAACATATTATAAAAATAAATAAAGTATAGAACCTCAATCAAACAGCATACACTAGATCGGTTCGTCCCGTTGCCGCACAGGCATTGAGCAGACAAATGTAAGTCTCTCCTTTCAGTTTAACCTCGTGCTTCTTCATCTCCTCCAAAAGCTTCATTTTCCACATAATTCAAATGTCAGACATCACATGAAGCATTCATAAAAAATCCAGATAATAACAAATGAGTATAAAACAGGAAGGGCGGTAGCGTAACCTTAATGGCTGTGGCAGAATTCTTGGTTCTACCACATGCTGATATCAAGAAGTTGTAGAGATTAACCTGCATAGAGAAGAAAGGATCGGTTATATAGGTTGGACTGGAGGGAAAGGAGGGATGGAAGAGAATCAAAGCTAACATCTGGCGGCAAGCCCATGGCTTTCATCTCGTCTCGGAAGAAAAAGGCGTCCTGTAAGCGACTTCCCTTCATTGCTCCAACGATGAGCAAGTGGAAAGTGTCCCTCAGCGGCTGGACGGCATCGAGCATCATGTCATCATAAACATCCCGGAGTAAGTTTCCCCTGGACCAGCATTTCCCATATAGACTTCAAGTGGAAAATGCCGCGAAGAGGAAAGTGAAACGGAGAAGGTGAAGAAATGAAAGCTCACCTTCGTTGGGCGATGAGAGATCCGATAACAGTATTGTACTCAGAGACGTTGTTAGCATAGTTTCTCCGCGCGTACTCCGCCGTGTCCGCGGAGTACGGCCTGTGGCCCAACAACCCAGGTAGCACCCGTCGGCCATGCCCTGCGAATCGAAATTTCATATCAAAAAGGTAAAATAATGGAAGAAACACTCATTTCGGATTAGTTAGAGCAGCTAACCGGAGAGATTTCTAAGATGGATCATAAGGAATCGTTTCCTGGTCCAGAGACTGTTATCTTCTTCTTCTTCTTCTTCCAATGGCTGCTGCCGAGTGCCGAGGTTCAGAAGAAATGAGCAGCTTTGAGCAGAGGGGGAGCGGGGAGGGATACAGACCTAGGTCATGGAAGGGCAAATTATTCAGTGCGGAGACCGGAAGTAACCTTAACTCAACTCCTAGTGCCAATAAAAAATGATACCACTTGTATCATTTATGTAATTTTTTTTAATAAATCATTTTATTTTATGTCTTGTTAGTCCAAGCGACCTGACTTATCTGACCGATTCTAAAAATTTGAATGCTGAAAGATGCGAAATGGAGCATTTTAATTTTCACCCAACAGTTTTACGGTGCCCAGTTTTTCTCATTTCATCTTCTCTCTTTACGTCCGGTTCTCCAGATGTTGCTTTTAGGGTTATTTGGCATTCTCCAGGACGTAACCGGTTTGCACAAGTTTGTCATCTTTGTTCTAAAAAAAGGTACCCTTTTGTTCTGCCTTTATTGTGCTTTCACTATGTATTGTTTTCTTCCCTATTTTTTCTAGGTTTTCATATGTGCTAGCACAGTGTTTAGGTAAACTTTTTTATTCAATGATTTTTTTTCTATTCAATGATGTAAATAGTTGATTTTGTTGGTATTTCGAAAAGATTGAAATGTCAGAAAAGAGAGGATAAACCTTTCATTGCGCTTTCATTTTGCTGCTCTTTTGTTGCGCCTTTGCTGCGCTTTTTTCACTGTGTTATTTCATAATATAATATTACTTGTCATTGCTAATGCATGTATGGTTCTTGAGCACTTCATTGTAAATAGACCTAAGTACCATGATTTAAGATGGGGAGTCAATACATATATTTTCTATTTAGCAAAAAAAACAATCAATTTATTTGCTAACATGAAAAAGAAACATGCGAGTAATGTATAAGAATGTGTTTTAAATGAAAGATAAGTTAAATAGAAGAAATATCAACAAAAGCACAGTAAAAGCACAATAAAGCACAGTAAAAGTACAACAAAAGCATAGGAAAAAAGCACAATAAAAGCGTAGTTTACTGTAATATAAAGTGATTCATATCCTATAAATTTACAAATATTTATGTAAATTCCATGCAGATTTTTCATGTCCAACAGGCTGTTACTCAAGAGGAAATAAAAAATGCAAATAATAACTTACTGCTATTAATAACCTCCATATTAAATCTCCTCATCAACCTCCTCATAAATCTTCTGACCAAATCCACTCACCAACATTAAAGAAAATTTAGATCAAAATCCCTCAAGACCACGAAAAAGCCCTCCCTCATACAACCCATCAAGACCCCCACTAGCTCAAGGTGAGAATTTGGCTAGTGTTGAAAATAAATTGGCAATCATCAAAAAAGTTTGCAGTACAATTCAAGAAAATATGGGCAACAAGATTGATCAACTTGAAGAAAATTTAGATCAACTTGAACCAAAGGTCGATTATCTTCAATATAAGCTCATTAACCATTATCTCCAATGTAAATTAGATCTTGAAAAAACTCCTCCATCTACTTCATATTCATCTATTCAATATGTACATAAACCTCCCACCAGTGTTGCCCCCAAAACCCAAAAAACCTACAAAAGTTTACATAAAGTTTTTGTGTTGAATCAGTTAAAGTCTCACCTCGTCCTACATACACCATAATGGAATATGAAGGAAAAAATTCCTTAGTCCTGAAAAGCGATTATTTATAAATGAATGCTTCAAAAAGTTTTATTACAAGTAAGTTCAAGTATATTCTTTTTAATTATGCTTTAGCTTAGCTTTTGTTGCACTTTCAAAATGTTTTTATTGCAATTTTGCTGCGCTTGTACTGCGCTTATACTGAACTTATCATTTTTTTCAGGGATGACCCTATATTTACTTATGGTAACATCGTGGTATCGAGAGTTGATATTGATTAGTTACTTATTGATCAGTACTTGGATAATGATCATGTTGATGTGTTTATTATTTTGTTATATGAAAATAATAATTTTATAACTGACATGGATCAACCATTCTTATACATCTTACCAATGCACATAATTAGTATTAATATAGTACTTAACATTTGTTGCGTCATGGAGTATTCGCGGCGGTAGAGAATTATAAAGTTTAATATCTTAGCATTGTACGAGGATCCAGCACACAATCAGATAAGTCAGAGAGGGTGCAGCATTTATAAGAGACACCATAGTTTTTACGTGGAAACCCCTGAAAAGGGGGAAAAACCACGGGGCCTGGCCCAGTTTGAATGAATCCACTAGTATTTGCAATCGATTACAATTGAGGCCCTTCTTAGGGAGAAGACCTTGGCCCGATGTACGTCATATAGAGCGCATTACATGGTGGGAGTTACAATAATCAACATAGACATGTTTATTTGGTCGGAAATACCATTGGAGGCTACGGAAGTCGGAAGGATCGCAGTCCGCAGAGGTCAGAAAGACCATTATTTGGCGATGTAGGTCGGAACGACCGTAGTAGACGATGGAGATCAGAAGGACCGCAGTCGGCAGGAGACCGGGGTTCGAAAGACCTTAGTTGGTAGGAGATTGGGGTCAGAAAGATCGTTGTGTGGTGATGGAGGTCGGAGTAACCATAGTAGGCGAGGGAGGTCGAGAGAACCGTAGTCGACAGGAGATAGGAGTATGAAAGACTACTGTTGGCAGGAGACTGGGGTCTAAAAGACCGTTGTCTGGTGATAGAGGTCGGAGTGACCATAGTAAGCGACGGAGGTCGGGAAGACCGTAGTCGGCAGGAAATAGGAGTTTGAAACACCGTAGTGGGAGAGCGGTACTTCATGATAACTCTCGGCATGGGCGGATCCACCCATGGCTTAGGGTGGGCAAATGCCCACCCTAAAAAAAGTATTTAGAGGGGAGATTTTGAAATATTTTGGGTATTTTGGACATTTTGCCCCCCCTAAAAAAATTTTTTTGCCATACTTTTATCAATCCTAAGTATATTTGTCCATACCTCACAAATTTTTTTTTTGCCCACCCTAAAAAAAGAAGCTGGATCCGCCCCTGACTCTCGATGTCAAGTGGGGGACCGGAAGAAATCTGGGCGTCAGGAGGTGGTCCAGTGGAAATCCGTGCCTTACATGGTGGAGCATAGGGCTTTAAGTGGTAGTCTGGCGGAGCAACAGCGCCAGGCGGTGGTTCGGCGGAGGTGATGGCCTTAAGTGGTGGTCCGGCGGAACAACGGCGTCACGTGGTGGTCTGGCGGGGGTGAGGGCCTCAAGCGGTGGTCCGACGGAACAACGACGTCAGGCAGTGGTCTGGCGTAAGTGAGGGCCTCAATTGTGGTCCGGCGAAGCAACGGCGTCAGGCGGTGGTTCGGCAGAGGTGAGGGCCTCAGGTGGTGGTCCGGCGGAGGTGAGGACCTCATGTGGTGGTCCGACGGAGCAACAGCATCAGGCAGTGGTCCGGTGGAGGTGAGGGCCTCAAGTGGTGGTCCGGCGGAGCAATGGAGTCAGACGGTGGTCCGGCGGAGCAACGGCGTCAGACGGTGGTCTGACGGAGGTAAGGGCCTCAAGTGGTGGTCCGGCGGAACAACGGCGTCAGGTGGTGGTCCGACGGGGGTGAGGGCCTCAAGTGGTGGTCCGACGGAACAACGACATCAGGCGGTGGTCCGGCGGAGGTGAGGGCCTCAGTTGGTGGTTCGGTGGAGGTGAGGGCCTTAGGTGGTTGTCCGACGGAGCAACAGCATCAGGCGGTGGTCCGGTGGAGGTGAGGGCCTCAAGTGGTGGTCCGGCAAAGCAACGGCGTCAGGCGGTGGTCCAGCGAGGGTGAGGGCCTCAAGTGGTGGTCCGACGGAACAACGGCGTCAGGCGGTGGTCCGGCGGAGGTGAGGGCCTCTGGTGGTGGTCCGACAAAGCAACGGTGGTGGTCCGACGTAACTTAGGTGGTGGTCGAGGAAGCAAGGAAGCAAGAGCGATATCTGATCTCTCTCTTTTTTCCTTAGGCTTCGGTCTCTCCTCAAGGGAAATGAGCAGTCTATTTATAGATTTTCTGGAGTGACATGGCTCGTAAATAGGTGAGAGATCAAGGGCAAATGAGGAGTGGTTGGATGGACGGTCGATATTGAATCCCTTGATTGTGGACAGTTCGTCAGACATTTGAAGGTCTATTGATGTCGGAATTCAGTGATCTTGGGCTCGTTGGATTCGTCTCATCATGCCGCTCGATTCAACTATAAGCTCGTTATGTTTCGAGACCATTTGGTAATCCAAATTGCTGTTCGAACCTTCCAACAGCACTTCTAACCATTGATTTGGACTCATTTGGGCTCGGATTGAGACGAAATTGGTGCCGTTGGGTTCGTATCTCTAAGACGCTCAGTTCGACTATAAGTTTGCTAAAATCGGAGTTTGGATGGTCCCAATTTTAATTTTGAAAGTTTCCAATTTGATTTTGCATCGAGATTCGCTCCCGATTAAGATAATTTTTTGACGACGTATCAATATTATTTTCTCATGCATTAGCACTATCCTTTTTTATTTCCTGTAGAATATATAATGAATACAAAAGTTATTCGAATTTATTTGTCCAACATATCAACAAGAATACAGTGAAGAAAAACAATCTTTTAATTATGACCATCATCCACAATATGCACTGGACACTTCTTATAGGTAGACTGAAATATATATATATATATATTATGATTCATTACCCAATCTACAACATAAGAAAATTTGTCTAAATGTCGTAAGTTTCAGTTTTATGATATGTGGCCTTCTCTCGATAACGAAGTGAACTAATATTTGTTCTTTATTTTATTCATATAAATGACCTATATAATGAAATGAAGGAATACTTTGAAAGTGACTTAACAAAATGACAATTATATTGTGTCTGTGGAGTTCCAACCCAGACGAATAATGTTGACAGCGGAATGTTCATCTTCTAATATATGGAAAAAGTGATTCTTCGACGTAAAGTATACTGGAAGAAATAAAAATATTGTAAGAAGAAATGCCAAAGTTTAGGGTTGAATTCGCTTACGTTCTCTTTCTTTCAATGAAAAAATAGTCATTTATTATATTTAAATGTAGTTCTCATGTACATTTTGAATTTCACAATTATAATGGGTAATATATTATTTTAACAAAAGTGCAGTTAAAAGCACAAATAAAGCATAGTAAAGGCGCTGA